TAAGATGCACCTAATCTAGCTCCATCACGCAGTATAACATGTCAGCAAGACTTTCTGAAACCCCTCCACCACGTTATGGTGGTGCTTTTGAACTCAGTCCAAAACTAAAACTGTGTAAATAGTTTCTGTGAAAAAGGTGGCAGAATACTATTTGTAAAGCAACATGAAAATGAAAATCACAAGGATTATATGCGGGACGCTTTGGCTGAAAGAGTGAAGTGATTTGACTCTTAAGTGTTTTTTTTAATGACAATTAGAATGATATACCCACTTTTGAGGGTTTTCTGATGCTGTCTGTAATATAGCGTATCTCTGGTTTGAGTCAGATTACTTTAGTATAAGAAGTAGTTCATAGGCAACTCCTATTCCTGCATAATAAGCTTAAACCATGACACCTCCGCTACCATGCCAAACAGATAGCAATAGAGTTATACCCATCCTGAACTAGGAAGCTTTCAAAAGTACATTTTCAAAGTTAAGGGCGGATATTTTTCCTCCTCCATAAAACTGCCAAAACTTCTACTTGTATTTAGATGGTCAATCAATTGTTGCATTTGTTTTAATTTACTTTGATGCATGATCAATGTTAGATTATATTAAAGCACTTAGTCTTTCTCACAACCTTCTTGCTGGTCTTAAAAACCATTTTTTCTTGCTATGACTGTTAGTCTACATTTAATGTCTGCAAATGCTGCAAATGGTAAAGATCAAATTAAAATCCCTATTTTATTCAGAAAGTTTGAAAGTGATTCCAACTTAAGGCCATTACAACCAAAGCACTTATAGGATTCCGGTTCCATCGCATTAGAATAATGACGTTTACATAATGACACATGGCTAAACATGCTACTCAAGACAGTATAGATTTTCTTTTGCATCTTAGTGCATTTGTTTTGATGCCCTTATTGATCGACTAGATGTAGATATTTTAGGAACATGTAAGTCTATAAAAGGAGAGGTCTATAAGACTGGAAGGCCAAAACAGGGGAAAAGTGTTTAAAGCTTTACGTTGAATAACAACAGTAAAGTTTCCTTTTCATCTTCACAATGTTAAAGAAATACACGGGAAGAGAAGCTCACCCTGCATTAAAATACAATCAAGGATGCCTTTCTGTCTTCGGTCTATCAGGGATATTATTATTTAAACCACAGGTTTATGTCTGCCATCTAACAGTGTGCGTAGAGGTAGTTTTCTGGAAGATAGGAATAATTTCTATGTGCATGTCATTTGTTGCATTTAAGGAAAGATGACCTCATCACCTGCCACACATACCCATACAAACATGACTCCCTGCCCTACTCACACAGTTGGCTCCTTAGGTTTTACTATCCATGTTGGACAGAGACGGTTCTTATGCTCCTCTTTTTTATCTAAAGGATTTCTCTTGTTAATGAGATATTTTGAAGAAATTGAGCGTCTGACATCACTTCACACACAAGACACACACTTTCAGAGATATGTAGACTTAATGTACCACTTAACCCAACCCAGACATCAGAGTAATATAGATCTGTCGCACAGATTGTCAACTTCAAGCAGCTTTATTCTTATTTGCTAAAGTTATTTCAGAGAATAGCCTCCCCAATTATCATAAACTGTAGATTTTCTGTAAATAAGAATAAGAATGAGAATGTAAATATCGACATTTGTGTGCTGCATCTCTCTGAATCTTCTTGTGCTGGTATAAGTCTTATACAGTATAGAAAGAGCATACTGTTTCAGCTCTACTAGTTTCAACTGCTCCTGCTGTGAATCATTCAGGCATATTTTATGCACACACTTTTTTGTGTGTGTTGACCACAATTATACATGTTTTCTTGAGTTTACTGGAAAGTGAAAAAACAGAGGAAAAACGCATGCTCCTTCTGCAAAGCACATCCAAGCACTATTTGGATGGAGGGAACAAGCAGTAATGGGGCAATTCATTCACCAAATGACACTAAGCAATTTCACATGATGTGGGAGGCTACAAACTGGATTAAGCAGCTGTAATTTCCAGAAACTATTCAGGCGTGAAATATGATATGGTCAGTTAAGAGAGCTGGGTGTACTGGTAGTGTTTGACGCTGATAAAAGTAAATGTGGGCAATATGTGATTGGTCAGGTTTAATTTGACTCTCCATTGGGATTCGCTCACTGGAGGTCCCATGAGCCAGACTGTTTTCTGTTATTCATTTTAAGCATCAATGCTTTGCAAAAGTAATTATAGACTTTGATTTTTCACTCATTTAAACTAAAAAAAAAATTAAATTATTTATATTTTACTCTATAATCATGGAGCATAATCACTCTTTTTTTCCTTGTTTTAATTGACACTGTTTTTAGTTCTGGCAAATTTAGAGTTGATAATGTGGGTCTGCACCAAACACCAAATGAAGAGCTTTATTTTCCAAAGGAAGAAAATTGACACTGCTAATGGTTTATTAGCTCATTTCTATCTAATTTTAAGAAAACTATGTTATTTTGATGTAATCCATATAAAAAAAAAATAATCCAAAGGCAGAAGCCTATGTCACAAAACCAAGATAAGGGATTAGGTCAAGATTCTTGTGAAATCCTGACATAAAAAATCTGTTTCACATAAACAGGAACATATACTGTAAGTAGCCATTGTATTTTTTTCTTTGCTATCCTGCCCCCATCAGACTAAAAGCCAGGCTTACCTAAACCTGGCACAGTGTCTGCTCAGTCAGTTTCACACCAATCAGAAACCAATGAGTTTTGACCGACACTCATATATACTGTCATAAAGTCAAGTACTTCTATAATTTCAACATTAATATGGTGGCCTATACCAGTATTAACTATATACTTTATATATGGACATTGTTACTGTTTGCTGTGTTTTTAAATATGGCCGTTGTTCTAAGTATGACAGAAAGGCTTATAGTAGACTATAGCATGTGTTGAATTATGTGAATTACATCATCCAAAACACTCACCGCCTTGTGGAGCTGGGCTACAGTTACCTTTTGTATCTCATTTTCTTTCTGTATGTCTCCTTCTGTCTCCTTGAACCCCAGTCGGCCTCAGCAGATGGCTGCTCACACTGAGCCTGGTTCTGCTGGAGGTTTCTTCCTGTTAAAAGGGAGTTTTTCCTCTCCACTGTCGCTACAAGCATGCTTAGTGTGAGGGATTGCCTTCGAGTCAATGAGTTGAAGTCAACTGGTTTTCCTTAGATAGAAAACATTGAATCAGATTAACTATATTATCTGGTTGAATTGCCTCTGTCAAGAGCCTTGGGATGACATATGTTGTGAATTGGTGGTATATAAATAAACTGAATTGAAACTGAAGGGATTAGAGAAAAAGTCTGTATCTGAATTGTTCTCAGCAATTACCTGCATGAGCATAAACACCTTTCTGGAGATGACATCCACTATCTGTGCAGACTGCTTTTTCCCAAAATTCAGCACAGCACAGAACACTGATTTTCTGCTAGTGGTACGTTCCTGCTTGCCAAAGGAAATACTGAAAATCTTAGCAAAGCCACTATTTGCCGCAAAGATGTGTATTTGGTATTAAAAGGATATACGCACATCTTCATCTCCTACCCAGGATGTAGAAGAATTATGTAAATCATGGAGGGATTCTACAACATTGTACCTAACATGAATTATGCTACACATTACAAACAAAACTTTAGAAGAAATGGACTACTTGCTCATTTTTTTAAACACAGGATTCCATAATATTATCTTTGTTCTGGACCGCACACAGATCAAGATACAACACCTTTTGAAGCACATGAAGGGATTTTGCTAACAGCAAATCCAAACAGGTTATGGGTGGGTAATGATTAGGCCTGTCAAATACAAAAATGTATTACATGAATTAAATCATCCAAAACATCTTATTGTTTCCAAGCATGTGTGGAAACAATAAGAATAAGAATTCATACCAGATTTTCAGCTGTCATGATAACAGAATATTGTAACCACAAAAAAAAAGGTTAAATCATGTACGCTTTTTTTAATAAAGGTCTTAATGCTAGATGACTTTCATGAAGTTCTCAGGGTCAAGTGTCCTGCACACAAGGACAAAATAGTTTTATATATATCTATAAACCTCAAAATCTGCACATGTTACCATAATGGCTTCATCCGATCATTTCTCCCCCCCGGTTAATAAGTGTTTATTTGAGAAAAATAACAAGTAACTCCCTAAATTATAACATTTTCAGTTTAGAGAATGGTTTAGTGGATATTTTAGGCTATTTAGTAATTTAGTTGATCTGCTGTTGTTTGCTTGTAATCAACCTCGGTCTTGAAGAAAACTGCAGACCTATGATTACCTTGATTACTTACACCTGGCTAGTCGTAGCCGCACCTGGGGAGCCTTGCTTGGCGTTTGAGGAGGGGGTGAAGTCAGGATGCTTTCCTTTACACTAGGTTAAGCTTGACTTTCTATCTTATCCTGGAATATCTGAATTCTGTTTTTTTGGAAATTGGCCTCAGATGAGTTTGGTCCTCCAGTGTTTTCAAAACAGGCTGCATGACCGGAAATTGTGGATGTGAGGAGATGAGGATGTAAAGGCTAAACAGCCAATCAGCTAAACCAGTGACAGGCAAATTAGACGAAAAAAAATCAACTAACAAAACCGAAATTATATGATCTTTGTTCAACTTAAACACTTGCCTTAAAATTATAGATATTATTGATAGTAATCTTATTGCTTGAACAATTATTGATTTTTTTACTGTTGGTATTTACTTCTTACACCCCAATCCATACTTTCATTATCTTTATTAATGAGTTCAAGTTTTGTTATTATATTCTGTAGATCAGGTATTACCTCTAAAAACCTAAGATTTGTGCTATTTAAAACAATAAGTACTTTCATTCTTCTAAAAGTTAAAATAAGTGTACCTCTCTTTACTCATAAGGCAAAATCCTCAGATAAATCTGTCAAACTATGGTTTCTCTAAGTCCTGTCTGTATTGATCCAACCATCTGCTTTCTGTCTTTCCAACCTCTCCCGACTCTCATCGCCCTCTAGTACAAGCAAGTGGAGCAGTACATGTCATTCCACAAACTGCCGGCTGACTTCCGACAGAAAATCCATGACTATTATGAGCACAGATACCAAGGCAAGATGTTTGATGAAGAGAGCATCCTGGAGGAGCTTAATGAGCCTCTGAGAGAGGTATGAAAACACTCCGATCGTCCATGACTACAACTGTTACACACATTTCTGATTACTGGAGGACACTGGAATTCTCTTATCTGCAACTCTTTAGCATATGTTATATAAGTTATCACATTAAGGGTTGTGTAAACAATTTTCTGAATCAAACATGCACATAAAAAATAATAAAATCGTCTTTCAGCACACTACATCCTACTGTAGATATAAAACAAGAGAATGAATATTCATGAATATTCAGTTGAGTTACATAATGTACTGAAATTTTGGTTCTTATGCAGTGTTTATACAGGGCTTTTTAACTAAAATGAATTTACCTTTTGTCAACCAGGAATAACTTGCTTAATTTGATTAAAACTGGCACACAGTTAAATATGTAGAGTTTGCATTAGGAGTTTATCATAGCAGTCCCACATTGTTTAAATGTTTCCCTGTTTCAATAAGTCTGATTTGAATTAATTGTTAATTATCTGGCTATCAGTGACGTTAGAGAGAGGCTGGTGAGGTGGGATATTTTAACAATCTCAGTCAATCAGGTCAATTAAAAAATGACCCCTCATCAGCCATAGAAAACTGGGAACTGCTCATTTCTGTGTGTAGTTTAAATTAAACGTTAAAGTCTAAACCTAACTTGAATTAATCTGAAAATAAAACACAGACTGGCAAGTGGCATTCTGGGGCATGTTACTTAAAATAGTACAGTATGTAGTAGCTCAGTAACTTTACAATCAGAGTAACAAAGTAGCTATGCCGTTAATATTTATAATCCAACATATAAGTTACTTTGTAGGACTTTTCTGTCATATTAACTTTAAATACAACCAGGAGTTAAATTATCTAATATAAAATGTTTAATATTAATTAATAAATGAAAAGGATTGAATATCTGAAAATTTGCTGTACTCTCTACTTACAGCAGCCAATTAACATCGCATATGACTCTATTTTTTCACTCCTGTTCCATCTCTGCTCTAAAAACAGAAAGCATTCCTCTGCTGCAGCAAAGAGTTTGCTTATTAAGTTATTGTAACCCACGAAGTAATGTACCCTGTTAGATTGCAGGTTTTAAATATCTATAATGTAATACTAATGTTGTTACTATGTAATTGACTCTAAGCCGGTCTGTCCTTTTTGTACCTATTAGATGAGGTGGAGTAAAAAAAGATGCAAAACTGTGTTACTCCATATATTAACAAAAGAGAAAACATTCCACTTCTGCACATTGTCTACCTCTTAATGGAAGGGCTATAAATCTCTAAAATAGTATAATGAAAATCTAAAATAGTCTGAAAACAGGAGATTTTTCTGTGTTTGTTTTGATATGTAGCCATTTTTCTTCTTACTGAGTTGAAGGCATGCAGCAATTTGTTTGACTCAGTTTCCATCAAAACAGTATTTTTTTCTGTTTAGTTGAAATGAAAGTTGAAATTCTAATTAAGAATAATAGTACTGTGTATATATTTGAAGGGCAAAGGTCTTTCAAAAAAATGCAAAGTTTAGTTTTATTGACTGGTTGTGTTTTAAAAGAATTAACATGCATGCATGTTGGTATTTCAGTTTCTCTTCTACAGTGTCTGTTCTCACCATTTAGGAAATTGTTAACTTCAATTGCCGTAAACTGGTGGCGTCAATGCCGCTGTTCGCCAACGCCGATCCAAACTTTGTGACAGCCATGTTGACCAAACTGAGATTTGAAGTCTTCCAACCTGGAGACTACATCATCAGAGAAGGCACCATTGGCAAGAAGATGTACTTCATTCAGCACGGGGTGGTGAGCGTTCTGACTAAAGGAAGCATCGGCATGAAGCTGATGGACGGCTCCTACTTTGGTGGTACGTCACTTTCTCACATTTCTATTTCAGTCGTGCTTTTTCTTAACTGTGTCCTTAAAAGGATTTTTTTCCATACTGTGTTAGCAAACATAACAACAACCTGTAAATTGAAAATGCAGTTTTAGAAATTGGGACCTTAGGGGCTGATATCCGGCCACTTAAAGATATATCTTTGGTCCAACACAGCTGAATTACTTCCCCAGCATGCAGTCAAGTTCTCCACAGTCCTTTGAATGACTAAATATTTGATTCATGTGTGTGAAAATAGAGATGTCTACTTCATTTTTCTTCTGCTGATGTTCACCAATTACTGTTTAGTGCTTAATCCAGGTTTGTTAAACTGGAAAAAATTTAAATTTAGATAAGTAATTTTTCTTGAAATAAGTGCTTTTGTTTTTGGATTGAGGAGGCAAAGGAGACATTTTGCCAATGGAACAAGACAACTTCCACTTAAAATGAGAAAACACAATTGTATTGTCTTATTTCAAGTGCATATTATCTAATTATCTTACTTTAAGAGTAAAAATACTCATTATGTTGGCAAACTATCTGATTTGCCTACTCAAGTTAAGGGTAAATACACTTAATTTAGGACATTTTAACTTATTTTTAGATTGTTTTTCCAGTTTACCCTTAAAACCACAGAAGTAACACAAGGTCACATATGTATGAGCTGAATGGTTGCCATTGGTTCCCTGTTCACTATTGTGAAAGTTGCCCCGAGCACTATTACATTAAGTCAAGTGCACAGCATGTTCTTAGGGATGCAGAGACAATGAATAATGGCTGTTTAGCTTAGAGACAGTGTCTATGAATCAACATTTAATGTCTGATGAATGGTGTGTAAGGCTGTGACCGTCAACAAAGAAGCTAATCTCCCCTTGAATTTGAGGGACAACCGGATCTGGTAACGATGTTCTAAGTGCTGTAAAATCATTGAATCTGAGTGAAGCAGCGAGTACAGGCATAATTTAATGTGCTAACACATTCTCTGTGAAGCAGAAGCCGTTATAGTTTTACTGGAAGATTATAGAACCTAAGAATAAATGCTTCGGTTATTCCAAAATCATTTTAACCTTTGTCAAATTTTGGTTTAAACTAGTGGTGGAGAGCAAGATATCTTTATGCATTACAGGTGATATGACTGTTAAACACATTTCTGATATTTCATTGTACATTTCAGTCTCTGATTCTAGTATTTTTCACTGATTTTATGTAGTTTTGTGTTTTTGTTTTTTGAAGCAAATAATTCTAAAATGTTACATTAGAAGAGTTTTATAAACCTGGTAAAATACAGAGGTAGCCATTCAAAATTTCGCCACTTTCCTTGATGGGCCTTTGGCTGCTCCTTGGCTGGTTCCCTACAATTCCTTTTTAAACATCAATCTTTGTACTAGAATATTCTTTCTGTCATAATTTGTGGACATTAAGAATTAAACAGTAGCCTAATCTTCTGGTCAGACCCTGTAATTCAGTGAAAGGGTTGAGTCAGGGTAAAAATATATGCACTCCCAGGAGAAGGAATGAGCCACTCCAGTGGCTGGAAGTTGGAGGGGATTTTGCTGGGAGTTGCACGGAAGTGGGCGGCCATTCGGCTGGCGTTTGACTGGGAAGGGCCATTTTGAATGGCTGCTACTGTAACTGTCATACAGTAGATTTCAACAGAATTTTGTTGTGGCTTTCTTGGCCTATTTTCCAGTTATAGTTTAAAATAATCTCTGAAGTTTACAAGGATGAATAATAGCGATTTGGCTCAAAAGGAGTCCAGACTTAAATCCAAAAGAGAATCTATGGAGGGAGCTAAAGTTTGGGGAAATGGCAGGGTGGCCTTCCAACTTTTAGACAAAGTGCTCATTGCTAAAAATAAATGGGGAAAAATATACATGGAGACATGAAAAAATCCAGCAATTATAAGAAGGATTTAATTGATGTCATAAAATTAACAATAATTCAATTAAGAAGTGTATAATTAATTTAAGTTTGACTCTCTTTTCTTTTCTTAGCATCCAGTATATTAGTTACTCATTTTGTCTTTTAAGATCACCTAAAGATAATAAATTATTTAGGCTAAATTGCATTTACTGTAAGATTTTTAATGACAGCTATTATTACTGCTGAGTGCTCTCCATAGTGGCAAAGCCCCTGCTAAAAAGAACAATAGGTGTTTATGTATCCTAACAAGATGAGAAGCTTCATCCAGTGACGGTGCAACTTTCTGCCAACTTTTGGCCCTGTAATTAGAAATAGGAAAGCATGGACCCTATGGAAAATAAATGAATGTAAAGTGTGGAAGACATTCTAATGAATATTCATGTCTCTGCTAGAATATACTTTGAAGTCCCAGCATTTCTAAGTAGTCATTGTCATCTATAAGGATGGCACCGCAACTCACCAACCTGTTGTATGAGCAATTTATTCAGCCCTAGTGGTTTCATTAGTGCTATTATCCTTTCACTGCACTACCCACTGGCTGCTAATGATGCTGGCGGTATGCAAATCCATGCTTTATGTGAAACGACAAAAATCCCAGGTGGGTGTTTATGAAGTGATACCTTAGCCAGTTTGTGAACAGTAACTCTCACCAAACGTGGAGCACAGAGACATGTAAACCATATCCCTGAAATATTTTAAGATAACCTAGAGTATGACAAAACTTTTCAATCTATTACTGAAAACATACTGATGGGGTTTATAGAAAAGCCATTGCTGTTCTGCAGCTACTGTTTCCTTTTTGTGTGATAGAAACATAGTAGTACCTCTAAAATTATTGTGCCTAAATAAACTAAATAACATACAGTGTTCTGTCAGCATTGAAATCCCTAGATAAAGGCTTCCCAAACTTTCAACTTCTGACCCACAAAATGTTCTCATCATAGACATAGTGTATTAATTTTTTTACAAAATCAATTAACCATTGATATAGAACTTATTCAATGATCATAAGTAAGTTATACTTTATATATATTTTTAACTCATTTGCAAGTTGCACGTTTAGCACTGAACATAAATCATAATACTACAAACCGTATCAATAACCAATGAATTTTTTGGGTCAATTTTCCAGAGATGTTTTTTATATCTTTAGACATTATGATAAAAATGTTATATATTTTATTGTATTGTTTATTTTCTGCAAAAGGTTCAATGAGATATATCAGGATTCAATCAATGAGCTATATCAGGGGTTTTCTAAGTACTTGCTACTGAGGAGGCGCAGAATATTAGGGGATAGAGGATTAAAAAAAATATGGAAATAAAAAACATAAGCTAATAATTTTTAACTATTATAATATAATACAATGTGATAATCTTTGAAGAATATAACTTTTACTAATATATTCTACCGAGAACACAAACTCAGTGAATTTAAAACTGAACTTTGAGGCTCTTCCCCTAATGATGTAATTAAGGGTTTCCCAGTGGCTGATAGAGCACTGATATGCAGCCTGCTTGGCTGAGTTTGACCTTTCAACTTTAAATTTACTCAAAAGAAAATATAGAGCATGCATAATTTTTGACAGTGATGTGCATACGGTACTAGCAGACATAAAGCCCAGCCCTCCACTACACACATTTTTGAGAAAGACACATTATCAAATGAATGTTTTTCTGAGCAGCTTTGGGTTGAAAACTTTTTACAAATTTAAATGTATTATTAATCCTTTACTCGAATAAGGTAAGCTGGTATTTCTATAATTTAATTAGAAGTGCTTACATTTTGCTTGGCATACCTAGACTGTATGTGTAAATTCTCAAAAATAGACTGCCATAAAGAGAAGGATTTAATGTTTAAAAGGTTTTAAATCTTAATTGATAAAAATTAACTCCACAATAGACCATCCAAATATTTGACATAGCCTTATGCATCTGGATGCTTTTGAACAAACAGCTTTGCTTGCTTTAAAGAAATGTATCACCCTGGGTGCTACAATCTGCAAAGCTTGGTCAGCCTAGTTGGGCAGCAGAAAATTGATTTGATTTATTCTGCAATAAGTGAATCTAAAATGTAGCTCTCGCTGCCGAAGATAGAGGAGCTACATTAAAGCAAAGAAAATTAAATTACTGCTTAGCGGCTTGAGAAAAAAATGGCCATATTTTACTATAGGTGTGTACTTTACTTTCTTAGACAAACAAAAAAGTTTAAAAAATCTAAACGTTTCTGTCTTGATGTTTCACAAATCATCAACTTTCATTTAAGATTTTAATTATATTTTTAAAAAAAAGTTTTATTAGACCTCTTTTTTGGTTTGTTAATCCACATTTATTCTCTTTTGCCGATTTTAATGACAAAGTAACTGAATTAATGCAGCTCCTTCTTTACTGTCAGATAAATTTGAAGAAATGTACTTCATTCCAGATTTAAAATAACATTATTTTATTATGAAGCCCCGACAATCATCACTATCCTTTAAACTAGTGAGCATATTTGCTATGTTACAACTCAAAAACAACATTACCATAACATGAATATTAAAATAAATATTCTGTGATGACAAATGTTTGATGATTTTTCTTTTGAATAATTTTGAATAATTTTTTCAATCCATTTTTTATCATTTAACATAATATATCCTGTCAATATTTATTCATACTTTATTGTAGATGGAAAAGCCTTAATTTCCATTATGCAATAAAACTTACCAAGGATAGTAATTCTTTAAACTATGTCAAGTCAGATGCAACTCCAACAGAACTTGAAATGAAAGAAAAAAAAAATTGGAAAAGATTAAGAGTTCAGGTAATTCTTGCCAAAAAAGATACAGATTATTAGGCAGGGAAGGCAGAGAGCCCAGCAATGAGCAGGATGGACCGGTCACCAGATCGCAGTGCCAAGGCCAAAACAAGCGCTCATAGGTGGATTCTTTGGTTAAAATTATAAAAGTTTATATCTCAAAAACAGAAGCATCACAAATGACAGTTTGTATGAATCTCCACTAATGACCCACTAAAAAAGTCGACCGCTTTGGTTTAATTCGAAGCTTAATAGGGAGATGGATGACCTGCTGAGTTTTTTCTCATGGATGGGGTGTTAGCTTCACACTTCTGAAATGGACTACTTCTGTTGTCTACTTTAACTAAGGTAACTAATGAAAACATACAATAGGGCCTAGTTGCTTTTATTCCCAACATTAAATCATTGATTGTTTCTCCATATAAACAATCTGAAGTGTTGTTGTAAATGTTTTTGCGTGTTATAAATAAACCATTCATTCATTATTTTAAAATAAATAAAATAAACACCCGCTGGCCTGAGCTGATATGGTGTGAGATATCATTTCATTTTTGTAATTTTAATCCTTTTATTCTATAACAAGCTGTTATTTCCTGGTTAATCAGTCAATAAATTAACCATCTAGTCAACCTGTAGTCAAATGTCTTAAAGACAAACGTCTCATAGATTTCTGCTGAAGTTAGAACATCAGCTTTATACGATGTATAGATGACACTGCTTTAGTTTCAAATGTTTTTTTTTTTTTCATATCAGCTAAAGAAAAGTGTTGTTTTTTTATTTTTTTTATTGGGGGGACTGGCACTCAATGGGAAGAAGAGTCTCCTGAATGTTGTGGGTTTGTTACCAGCTTCTTCCGACATGTCAATGTGCCCCTGGGCAAAGCACTTTACCACGAGTTACCTAAAAATCTGTTTATCATAACACAGATTCAATCCAGTTACAATTAATCCATCTATTTGAGCCAGCTTGCAGATAGTTCACAACAACACATGGGACCAGGAGAGATTTCTATCAATCTATGCTCCATACAGCTGCAGAAATTAGCCTCTCACTGAAACAGGTCTGTGTGATTTTAATGGCTGTTTTTCTGTCACCTAGTCATTGCCATCATCTTATTATTCATATATGTTTTTCTAAGATAATTTTATTTCTTAAAACTTTCTCAGACCTCTTATTTTAAGAAAACAAGGATTATGCATATTAAATGAATTTGTTATTTCCTTACAGACAGCCTGTTTAAATGCTCATATGGTTTTTAATAGTTAACAATCCTTTGTTTACAAATTGATGCCAAAATGCTTCATGCAGTCACAGTTTATTCCATTGCGGAACCCTTTCATAATTTCTAGACGGAGTATTCCTCTGATGTTACTCTCTTTGTTTTCCACTGAGAGTTTGAGGAGGTCGACCTTTAAAGGCAAGAGAAAAGGAGGGCATGTGGTTGTCAAGACAACAGTCAGCCCCAGCCCTTAAAAAAAGTGAAGCTATGCGTTAAAAAAAAAGAAATACTAAAAGAAAGGAAGATGAACAAGTCAAGTAATGAAGTTTAGCTACATATTCTTAAATATAGTGGGTGCTTCTTTCTCACACAGCTGTCAGTGCTGCACAAATGTCCATGTTGTTTTAGTTGGTCAAACTTAACTAAGCATAATACTTTTGTGCAGAAATAACTGTCATTTTGACATATTTGCTTTCAATTTCCTTTAAAGTGAAGAAGGAAATTAAGGTTGAATTGCAGTGGTTTAATTTTGGAGCCCTTCTCACATCCTTGTCCTAAAATCTGTCAGTTTGCCACTTTCTGGTTTCTAGTCACGCTTCTGGGTTCCTTCTTTTTCCCCTCCAGAGATCTGCCTGCTGACCCGAGGCAGAAGAACAGCCAGTGTGCGAGCAGACACCTACTGCCGCCTGTACTCTCTCTCGGTGGATAACTTCAATGAAGTGCTAGAAGAGTATCCCATGATGAGAAGGGCCTTTGAGACGGTTGCAATTGACAGACTGGACAGGATAGGTAAGGCCATCATTTTGTTCAGTGAACAGAAAGACTGGAAGACTTCACTATTCTTTTTTTATATAACTTTAAGAAGAAAAAAATAATTTGTGTAGAAATGTTTTCAAGGCTACTCCAGAGCTATGTCTTAAACATAAGTATCTTTCACGTCCTGTCGTCCATGTGGATTTTTTTCCCAAACTGTATTATAACTGCATCAATAATAAAAATGGAGTAAACATTGTTTTCTTAAGTCAACTTATTATAAGCCTTATTTCAATCTTAAAAACTCACATGAAGAGAAAAGACAATTCGGAGAAATGTTTTGATACAATTACTTTGTCTTTGGCGCTCAGACCTCAGCAGGAAACAGCGTTTAATTTTGATGGATATGCATGAAAAGCAGCAAGGAATAGGGCTGTTTCCCCCCAGTCCTGAAACCGGTGGTGGAGTGGAGATAGATGAAGTTGGTCAGTCTGTAGACTGCTGGTTAGCGAGACGGTATGCTGAGCTTAATGGGGAGATCCAGTGGACTGCGTGAGCTGATACTAGAGCTTCACTCAGGGACCTGGAAGATGGAAGCCCAGTTGGATAACACAGGTTTAGAGAACCTGTCCATGATGAACAAGCATGGAGCGACAGTGGAGAGGAAAAATAAACCTCTGGCAGAACCAGGCTCAACATGGCGGTCTTCTGCCGGACCGGTTGAAATTAGACAGGGAACGCAGTAAGAGTCCGGGAGGAATGACACTCTGATGAAGCTTTAGCTACGATGGTCGAGGAGGGGATGGAGGTGGGTTAAAACGGGATCATCTGAATGAAGTCACTTTCACTGATTCAGTAAGAGTTAATGTTAACTTTTTAATGTTATATTTTGGAATTGAAAAATATATACCCCTATGAGTTAAAAGTACATCCTGATGCATTCCCTCGCTGACAAACTTAGTTACTCTTTAGTAACAGTATGTTAGTTATTACTTTTTCAAATGCAGAGAAGATATCCATTTATTTTTTAAACAAAAATTGTAACTGTATTAGTATATTCCAAACCTAACAGGTTCTTCATGTGGTTTATTGAACATGTGATTTATACATTGATTGTGATTTATACATTTGTTTATCCATTTCAAAAACTAGTATATTTAATAATAACCAACCGTCAAATGTAAATGTAAATCCCTTTATTGTCCCACAATGGGGTAATTCGCTCTCTGCATTTAACCCATCCCCTTGGGGAGCAGTGGTTTGCCAGTGTTTTGGAGCCCGGGGAGCAGTGTGAGGTTAAAGGTTTTGCTCAGGAACCCAAAGTGGAGGCTGTGGGGATCGAACAGAGGTCCTTTCGACCTTCTCAGAGCACAAGCACACTGCCCCAACCACTAGGCCAACACATCCCAAAGCTGTAGGTTACATATAAGGTTAAAGGTAGAGTGGAGGATTTTTCGTGAATTTTTTAAAAGACCTGTCCTCTCCACTTAAAAAAAAAAGCACATGCACATGCACAACCCTGTAATCGCTCCCGATAGGAAATGCCTTTTAAACACATGCAAAAGTATGCAAGAGCCCGTTTCTCCTCGTGCATGCTCTGTTTAAAAGTTGCTGTCTGCATCACTCATACAAGCTTACTTTCCAAAAGAAGATTTTCAATTTTTCCACTATGTCACACTCACGACCCGTGAGTGAAAATGGGAACAAGCATGTAAGATAGCCTTACCTAAACATATCACCACAATGATTGACAATTAGGAGGAATAACTTTGATGATCCAACTGGAAAAAGAACATCCTCCACTTTATCTGTAAGTTAAACATTTAAAAAATCTTTGGTATAACAAATATAATGCTGATACGGATGTATAATAATAACAATAACAATAAGCATTCAAAAAATACCACTGAAATGCTTTTTGAAAAAAACGAGAGCTTACAAAGGAGACAGACAGAAGCCTGAGATAAAATATGAGACATCTACTTTAAGGTACAAATGTCAACCTTCAATCAAAAAAGTAAGTAAAAATACAGTTTCTGTATATTTAATGTCTATCCTTCAAACAAATATACTTCCAAGCAGTTATTTTACAGAGAAATATATAAGATACAAGATAAACATGTGAGAATTCCTAAAATCATCCATGATATCCAGTGAAAAAAAGAACTATGTGTTTTTATTTATTCATGCAAAGTATTTTTTAATAACTGCTCAGCTGTGGCAGTATTATGGAAAGTGACACTAATAAATAATTAAAACTATGAAATATTTTTGTTTATATGTCCATGTTTTAATGTCTCCAATGAATATAATTGCCCTATAAAGTCAAAACACACACTTAGATCCTTAACGTTGTGAGTGACAGTTATTTTTCTTCACAATGTGAGCAACTGCTGCTCCCAATCTTCTAGAGGTCAGCCATGCTGCTGATTGTCCCATGACCAGATTTCACATGTGTATCAAAATCTCCACAGCCACCCTCTGACAGGTGTTTCCATAGCAGCCAAATTTTGCACCCCATCAGTTTAGTGGCTCACTTATTTGGAGAAAGACTGCCATTTCTATTTGAAGGCCGAGCCGGCAATCAAACATTCCCACAAGGCTCCACAGGGGCTTGTTTTGAATTGATCAGTTATTACACATTACTTTCTTCTTGATTACATCAACGGTACCTTTAATTAAAGATAGTGAGGTGCAAGGAAAGGGTGACATGCCTGAAGCAATATGTGTTTGTATGTCAATGTCAACCAGAGGTCTTCCAAAAACACGTGCATATATACTGCAGAACTATTGAACAGTAACAGACAATTAGAAGCAAACGTTATTATTTTACTAGAAGGCATTATTGTGAAAGCAGTGATCCAGAGATGTTGGTTTTCCATTCAATTTTGGAAATGATGCAGCTTCATCAAAGCAGCTCCTTCAGAGGAGACACAACCTCAGTTTTAATCATTGTAGCATGAATGAGTGCTTTATTTATAGAGCACTCTTCACAGGCATATTCACACAGCGCTGTAAATCTAATTGTAGCTCATCATTTCCAGAATTGCCATTTTACAGGCAAAGCACTACACTTTCTTAAAATCCCTTTAAATTTTCTCACAGGATGCATGGCAAGCTACCTTTGGGGCACCCATAGACTGATGGAAGGGCAGATAATTGTAATTCCATCCGAAAATGCCCAGGTAGTAAATACACATTAAAAAATGACATGGTGAAGTCCGGACTGAAGTCCTTTACTCTATCGTTATGCAGTGCCACTCAGATATTTAACTCCTTCGATCCATTAAAATGTTCATACTACAAAACAAGCAAAGTACGATAACGACACTATGAAAACACTAAGGGCCGGATCTATCAAAGGTTTGCATGTATAAAAACGTGAGCTATTTCACTGCGCACGCTAAAAAATGTACAAACTGATCTATCAACAGCGTGCTAAAAGGATTTGGTCTTTAAAACGTGCTAAATAGCGCCTCTTATCCATTTAGTACTTTTTCTGCTATGAATATGCAATATGGGGCGTTTACACGCAAAAGTGCGTCTTGTGGGAGGAGAACATGTAAATATATTAATTTAGCCCTCGCAAAGTGATTTATCAAACCTGAAAGCAATTTTGCTAACGGTATCTGACTCTATATTTAACACGTTTCAAAAGAAGGTGCAAATGGTCTGTATGCGTAATTGCGCACACATGCCAGCGGTTATTGTCGCAAGAAGGAGACATCGAAATGAAGCAAGGAGACGCAGAGAACGCATTTTTTCACTCCGTGTGAATATTTTTGGAATGAACGAGGAAACTATCAACAAAACATATCGTTTATCCAGCATTGCCATTTTGGAGCTGTTGGGGGAACCCCGAATGGATTTGGAGCTAGCCACAAGGAGGACCCACGCAATACCAGATATCACAAAACTCCTTGCAACATTGCATTTTTTTGCATCTGGGTCTTTCCAGCGTACGGTTGCAGCGAGAGCGGGGATCTCCCAATCTCGTTTTTTAGAAGTGCTGTCCGACGTTCTAAATGCCATGTCGCCCTACCGGAGAACCCGACCTCTGCGCCTGTGGAGCAACATACCAATGCTGCGGGGATGCATACGCGAAGTTTTCTCATCCACAGTCACTTCTTGTGAGCCATTTGGTATGTGCATTTTTCTACAGGCCAATACAAAATACTGCAGTGAAGTAGAAATTCAGCCACATACCACCTTAGGGAATAAAGGTTGCCAAAGTTTTTATATATATATATATATATATGTGTATATATATATTTTTTTTTTTTTTTTTGGAGGGAGTGGGGGTGTCACTGTAAGATTTAAATTTCTTAATGCACTAGTTTGTACAAACTACAAACTACTTTGCCGCAAACCACAAAATGCGCAAAACCATCATTTAAATAGGGCGTCTCCAACAGTTTTGCACCTGCCACCAGTTACGCAATCACTCTTCTTAAATCACCCGCAAACCATGGTTCAGCCCCTCGTGCAAAATTTCAGTTTGCGAGCGCAAATTACTGCATGCAAAATTGGATCTTGATAAATCCGGCCCTAAGAGTTTGACGTTGTCAGTAAATTATAGTATAATGGCAGATTTTGCATTATAGCTCATTTTATATGGGTGGCACTGCAGTAAAGTAAGTATGGACGCCATTCCCTTTTTTTTTTTTTCGTACTTGAGAAAGGTCATAAGCTCTAACGTTACACTTAAAGTGTTGTATTTGTTTTCATGACAAACAGCATGCCAGAAATAGAAAGATGATTAAAATCATGTGCTTTTTGGGGTGTTCCTTCATACAAAAGTACTCAAAATGAATCAGGGAAGATCATGAAAGGTAGGCCTTGTTGTTGTGCTAACATTTATATTTAGTTCTAAAAACTACAATAGCCGACAGGTGCAAATGTGCATTAAACGTTGAAACGAGCTGCAAAACCATGGGATGCAAACTCCAAAACACCCAAGCCCCCAAAAAAAAAATAGAAACAGAAAAATGCTGCAAACAAAAAAGAAATAAGCTGCAAACAAGTGAAAACGTGGAGCAGACAGTGAAATGAGCTGCAAACTCCAAAATATGCAAACACAGAAAACAAATACAACAGAAAAACACTGCAAACAAAAAATGCTGCAATAATTAAAAAGCAAAAATCTAAAATCAACAAGAGAAATGCAAACCAAAAATAATGCAAACACCAACAACACAAGGCAAGAAAAACCTGAATGCTGTAATCAAAGACAGAAAATTATGCAAATATAAAAACGGCTGCAAACTCACTCTTAAAAAAACCAAAATGCTGCGGAGCAATAGATGGAGCAAACCAAACACTCCGGTACCAACAGGAAGTTAATCATTAATGCAGGAATTAGAAAGAAAAAAATGGAAAGAAGAAAGGTTATTTATCTTTCATTTCATTGTCAAAAACACAGTCTTACAGTTTTACAGAATAACAGCTTAGTTAAGTTTAGTAACATATAAGTAACAATCTGGTCAGAAATGGTTTGTTCTTTGTTCAACTCCCTCTAGTGGTCCAGATTGTTAGAGCGAATTTGCTGCGGTTTTTGCTATTTGCATTTTTGCATATTGCATTTGTTTTTTGTGCTTTGTGTTTTGGAGTTACATCACAGTGGACCAGAATTTCCCCATTGTGGATAAATAAGGGGATTTTTCTATTCTATGCTTTATATTTTTGCAGCTAGTTTCATCAACATATTCATATTCGCTGATTAGACGGCACTGTTTGGGTTTTTTAAATAGAAGTAATTCTGCCTGTGTCCACTCATTCAACATTTGAAAAGAAAATGGCAGAATGAATGTCAGTGAGAACTCACTAGTGTCTACCTCCTGCAGGAGGTTGATTTATAGTTTTCAATATGCTGTTGCTTTTTTTTTTTAATTGTAGTTGTGTATAAAGATCTGTTAATGTGGTTGGCACTTCAGGGCCACTATAGAAAGCAGATGCACTGTAATCATCATTTAGTGTTATCTTTTTTGTTATTATTATCATTATTACCTGCATCTCTATGGCTTTAAACCCTAACTTCCTTTTAGTGCCTCTCTTAAACTGCCAGTACAGCAAACAAGCTATTAATTTTAAACAGGTTTGCACGATTTAACATTTGCGCAACAATATTTGTAGATTGCCTGCAATGCATCTTCTTATTAAATATACTAAAAAAAAAAAAAAAAAGACCTGCAATCCAGGACCTGTTATTTGTAATCTTGGAAGATTGGGCCCCATTTGCGCTAATTCAATTCAGTTCAGTTCAGTTCTGGTTTGATCAGTTCAGTTTGGTTCCATTTAATCCAGTTCAGATCAATTCTGTTTAAATCCAAAATACTTTATTTGTCCCAAAGGAAATAAAATAAAATAAAAGATTTTTGCAACCATGAAGGTTTAAAAAAAAAACAAGTTGTTTCAGATATTATGTTTTTTAAGTTGTTAAGCAAGGCAACAAAGCCCATCACATGATAAACGTGTGCGGGACCTTCATAGTAACCAAAGATGAAAAGATTTCCCATTTTTTGGGATGAAGCTAAGAAAGCACAGAAGACAAGCTGCACAAATGTGAGCCTTTTTTCTATCTAGCTTGCTTAGCTCTAAATTTAACAGAATCTTTTCATCTGATTTAGTTTTTCCTTCCAAAGCAGCCGGCATATTTAGACTGGCTGCCTCACTGCACCATTAACCACCTTTCCTCAGTTCTAAAAACATAGTTTTTACGAGGTAATAAACTCCTCATTAGGCTGCCTTCTCCTCTCCATCACACTTTCAGTTGACAGAAATCTGTCACACATTTATATCTGACACACATCTCAGTAATTTGACAGTGTGTTGGTTAGTTGCACATCCTATTATCTTGATCTCCACAGCTGCAGTCTGACCCTGCCAGAACCTCCGCCTAAACGCACACCTGCTTTCAGGAATTTAATTGGTACAGCTTTGCTGACAACTCTGAGAAAAACCCCTAATAATTGTTCAACAGTCATCTGCTATCAGTTTGTTTTTAGAATTATCCATCGTCAGTCTGAGAGCAAAAAACTGTTATAGGTTGTTAAAGGTTCATGGTCAACTTCTGAGTTGTTTGAGACTTCCAAGACCAGCTCTCAGCCAGAGCCTTATTATCCACTGTTTTAACCAGGGAGGAAATAACATTCCTTTCTGCTGATTGGTCAGTTGGTGTTTGTGTGCATATATGATAGGTTCATTATTTTTTTTATTTTTCTCTCGATTATACCTTTTATTTTAATGCAAACGTTGTAGTAACTTGTAAATTACCCCAAAAATGGCGACAGCCGATATTTGTTGGTATCAAATAAAGCGTTTTCCTGCACCTTAAGTGCTTCTTAAGTTTTCTTCCTCTCCAAAAATGGTGGTTGCCAAACTTTTAATATTATGTCCCAAAAAGGACAGGAAAAGAGACTGCTGACCCTCATTTCTGGTTGAGTCTATATTTACTTAGTCAGCTGTGATTGTTGCACAGTTGCAACACAAACAGCATTAAATGCCTAAATATTGCCATGTATTCTTTTTTAAACTATTTTAAAATATCTAATTTGTTTATAGATATTATTGGAAAACAGAATATAAATCCGCATTTCTATATATAGTCTACAAAGTTTTGGTATTTAGATCCCACACCTTTTAACCCTCCACCATTAGGGAGCACCTAGCTCTGTAGACTTATGCATAGGTTGTGTCATCTAGACAGCACTGTAAGTGTTTCCCATCTCCCCTAAGAATACTGCAAGCTTTCTTTCTTTATTTCTGCTTCAGAGAACATTTATAACATCCCCCAGCTGGCACTGCTACAGTACTTATCCATTGCACAGCATCACAGGTTTTGAATTTCATAGTGTGCTAAAAATATTCAACACTGTTAGGTCATCTACTGTAACACTTACCAAAGTTTGTATATAGCAGTCAAATTTACTGTTCATCTGCCTTAGAAGTTTATTTTCTTTTCTTTTTTTTTTTTTACACTAAACTGTACTTAATTTAACTAAGTTTTTACCCGTTTGACTGGACATAGTAATCTCAGTCCCTTGGATTTGCCTTTGTCACCCTCAGGAAGTGAGCAGCTGGTCAGCACCATGACCATATGGGTCACACTCAGTTTCTTTATCAGTAGTCCTCTATTTGAAGCTTCAGTCCACCTAATTTACTGGTAGATGCATCAGTAACTCTTCGGAAAAAAGCTGGCTTGATTGAAAACCCCCTACAGAGTTGATTTTCATTCACGTTATTTTCATTTTATTTCAATGTGGAGAGCTTAGCAAGAGTGTGGCAATAAACAGTTTGTTTCCTGACATATAAATCCTATTCTGTTAAAATAAAATAAATAACCAGTGATTATGTTTATATAAACGGCCTTTCCATAATGGTCAGGATGGCAAAAGATAAACAAGAATATGACATGCTAGTTTCACAAAATATCTCTTTAGGAACCAGAGAAAGTATTTCAGCTACATTTAAATATCCTGTGTTTATATCATTGCAGGCAAGAAGAACTCAATCCTGATGCACAAAGTCCAGCATGATCTCAATTCTGGTGTTTTCAACAACCATGAAAATGAGATGATTCAGGAAATAGTCAAATATGATCGGGAGATGGTTCAGCAAGTGGATGTACCCCGGCCACGAGCTATGTCAATGACACCTCCACTTCCTGGTGGGATTTTTTCTCCTCCAGCTTCTTCCACTCAGCCTCGAGACTCAGCAATTGCAACTCTACAACAAGCTGTGGCGATGAACTTTTGTAACCCCATGCAAGGAAACTCGATGGGAGCAGGGACCTTGCAGTCTCCTAGGATGGTGAGAAGATTTCAGGTGATGCAAAGTGTTTCCAGCCCAGTCTCTGCTTCTCCGCTACAGTCACAGCTCCTAGCCTCCGGTGCCTTTGCTCCAGTCTTGGCCAGTCCCCCAATTCAGAGCCCATTAGCCACAGGAGGACGAGCATTCCAGTATGGATCCAGTGCACTGGCTGGTCCTAACTCAGGCTCCCAGCTGTCTCTGGTTCAACAGCATATAGCCAGTCCTGCACACCGGCCCAGCATGCATAAGAGCACCCATTCTTTGCACCTGGGGAGTCTGAGCCAAGATGTCAGGGCCCTATCCGCCTCACAGCCCTCATTGCCCCATGAAGGGGTGCAACCAACTGTCTCCAGTCCACCCCACTCAGCACAAGTTTCTTCCACTTCTATTGGACCCCCTCAAACCCTGTCAGGCCCTACAAGCATTCTGAGTGCAGTACCTCATAGGGTGGTACTCCCCCATCAAATGTCAACCGGGGCCTTTCCTGTAGCATCTTTGCCTGGTTCTCTGCATGGTTTTGCAACAGGGATGGCAGTAGGTAGCATTGGAACAGGTCAGGCGGACACAGGTCCCCCTAAAAAGGACTCAATAGTAAGCCTTCCAGAGACAGACCACGCCAAGGTGAGATCTAGGCTATCCTCAAACTTGTGATTTTAATTAAACTGTTCTGGGAGACTGACTGATTGAGGAGACTAATCACAGGAACATCTTCCTCTTCTTTTTTCCAAGTCTGACTATTTGAATGTATGGATGTTGAGTGAGCTGGGAACATCTAAGACATTTAAATCTAGTGACATTTGATTCTGCCACACAGAGATGTTTCTACTCACAGCTGTAGTTGAACAGATAAGTAGAGATAAAGTAGAGTTTTTCTCAACATAGTCAACAATATATTCTTCAGTGTCTCATTCACTTCATATAAAGCAAATCCGGGGTTGAGTGTTTGAAAGAAATTTTTCAGGTACATAGGCCTACTTCAGATATCAGAAGGTTAAACTTCATTGGTAATTATTTACTGTACCATAAAAATCCACCAGAACTCCTTTTAAACTTATTAGCTTTGGTATTGGAGAAAAATTTGTTTTATTGTCCCCTTTAAATTATGTTTACACCTTATTGGTAAGCACATAAAATAAAATAAATTAAAAAATTTAACTACCTTAAAACAAACCCTAATAGCCATATCAATGATGGTATATTATAAATGGATTGTTGATAGTATAAAAAAGAAAAGAAAAAAAAAAGCAACCCTTTTACCTGAATTTCATGCAGCAAAAATATAATACTCCAAAGACACTAGGGGACCAGTAGCTCCTTAATAAATAAGAGCTTTGGTCTAAGGTAGAGGACCATCAGATTCTTAAAATTAGTCATGCACAAGATGCACAATTTTATAGGCTCCCTTCACATTAGATTAATGCTGACCTAAATTGTGCGGAACCTCCACAACTGTTTAAAATGTGTAAACCAAATGTTTATGCAAGGCAATGTTATTCTGCTGTGCCTTCAGCGTTTACCTTGGTAAATTTCTTGCTTTTTCACAATTCCACAGCCACATACATTTCCTGTCAATCTATAAAATCAGTAAATACATTTTGAGGAGTTCTGCACCTACCCCATCAGTTTTAACATCATGATTTTTTTTAACTGCATGAAATGATGCAGATCAAGGGATTTTAGAATACTTTCCACTGCATAGCATGCAGTGATGAGTAATACTGTCAGTGGAATACCTGACTTGGCAAGTCTCTCTGATGTTATGGTGCGAGTTTACTCTGGAATGAAGGGGGCCTTGGAAAGAGAAGTAATCATGGACTCTTCACTGACATGATCTCATCATACCAATTTTTATTGGTGTGTAAACTCTTCAAAAACTAATTATTTAAGAACATTAAAATGTGGGGAAAATGTTTTTTGTTTTTTTTTCTAGACCATTGATTTATATGCAAATGATCACCATTTACTAACTTTATAGGTCATAAATCTAAAGAGAATGAATTATCCATTTCACATCACTATGGACCTTGCTCTTTTGATGGTTCAACAACACCTATTCCACACAATAGAAAATGCTACTATCAGCCAGAAATGTTACAGAAATGTATTCAAAATTCAGCAGCTGGTTGAGTAAGGTAACATTTTTATATAATAAACTATAGATCTGAATCTTAATGGAAATCACCAGTATAAGGTTGTAAAGAACAGATAAACATCCTTATATGTGCTGGATGTTTCAAAAGGTGACAGAAAAAAGTTTATTTTGGACCTCTGAAATGCTCAATTACGAATCTGAATGGATTCTAGTGAGCCTTTCCTGTTACCTAGACTTGAACTGTTATTCACTGCCATTTACATTCTAGAAGCTTATTACAAGTTTATTTTAAATTCAAATCCCTGTCATCACAATGTAAATTCATTCTTTTCTAACCCTGAATTTTCACTTGCCTTTAGTGGCCGTTAAGGCGATGCATCACTATGCCAAAGTCAATTCTCACAAATAATGTATCGCCTGTTACCCCCGCAATTTAGATAAACAGCCAAGGACAGTGCTGATCCTTTGCTGGATGCATATTGCAGTTTCCCTCTGTCATTGATGCTGCAGTAAGAGTTCATCCAATGCCACTGATTTGTGTCCAAAAGCATTAGGAAGAAGACCCCTTTTTCCTGGAAGTGACTTTCCATTCACCTCAGCTTACTATTGCCTGAATCATTACATGGTAATGAGAGTGGAAAATGAAATCCCTCAGGCCTGTTTGGGTCTGTTATTATCATCCTTCAACTGGATTTCATTATTCTGTGCCAATAATGAGTTCCTTTCCTATGATCATTCTGCATTTTTGTCCTGTTTAGTTTGCACTCCTGCACGTTCATCTACCATGAGAGTCCCAAATTTGAAAAAGTAGACAGTTTTAAGTGTTGTAAAACAGTATATTTTTTCTTGTGTTTTCTGTCTCATGATAAAATTCTGCCACTGGAACTCATTTGAGTCCTCCAGCATAATTGATATTATAAGAATTGTGTTTATTCTATACTGTTTCCAGGGGGCACAGTTTTATATATATATATATATTATATATATATTCTCAAAGCTACTGATCAACTGAGATGTAGATTTTGTACTGCCTTTTGAGTTGAAAGCAAATTATCTGAAAAAGGTTAAACATTTCAGTTGAAAAATGTTACATGCTAATTCAAGAGTACCACCTTTAGACCCACAACATGGTGAACCCTGAATGGGCTACATCAGCAGATGACTACACATAGGGTGTTCACTAAGAACATGAAGCTGAGACCTCAGTTTGCACAGATTCACAGGAATCTGACCTCCACACAAGCTGGATAATTCTTCCCCTGTCAGATGGGCCTTAATTTCAGCTGCAACATTCTATAGGTAGAAGTACTTATATAGCACTTTTTCAAGTCAGGCAACTTGACCAAAGTCCTTTATACTACATTCAGTCATTCACCCATTCAGATACACTGATGGTGGCAAGCTATATTGTAGCTACAGCTGCACTGTTGCTCACTGACCGAAGCCAGGCTGATGTACACTGAGGCCATCGGTCCCTCTGACCACCATCAGTAGATAACCTCCGATTGCAGGGAAAGCTCCTGCAACCAACCCACTGTTGCCTCCCTAGGTAGGGTCAACATTTCTCATAAGAATCCTGAAAAAAGGGATCCATCCTGCCTTTTACCAATCATCAATATTGCTGCTGGTGGTGTAAGTGTGCTGGGGATATTTTCTTGGCACAGCATTGTTAAACACCATGTCCAGTTTATTCTCTTACAACCACTGTCTATCTACCATCTGATGGCTACTTTCAGCAGGATCATGTTCCATGTCATAAAGCTCAGATAATCCCAAACTAATTTCGTTGACTTGAAGTATTCACCATAGTGAGATCTGAATCCAAAACAGCCCCTTTAGAGTTACTAGGAAGGACAGATTTTCATTGTGGAGGTCTAGCTAACAAATCTGCTACAACTTATTTCGCTTTGCCAATATGAACCAACATTTCTAAGGGATGTTTCTGTTGCCCCATTGATTCTAATTCCAAAAAGGATCAATATGGTTCTAAAAGGCAAAAGCATCACAACCTGAAACTAGCAGGAGGTGCCTAACAAGGTTTGCAGTGAACATAAAATCAGAACATTGTTACATAGCACCAGATAGTACTGTATTTTCTGATTACTTAAAACTACAAAAATACATTCATAAAACTTTAAATGTACAATCAAAATAAAGCTTAAACTCCTGCAGCTTTTCTACAAAAACATTTACGAGTTGTACTATCACTTTATGAAATTCATCTAGTCATTTCCAATAAATGTGATGTTTCTAACAACAAGCAATAATGGTCTGATTGAAGACTGAGTGGTAACTATGCAGATGATACTCAAGTGTACTCTTGATTTGTCTGTGGAGATGCAATATTTTAAAATTCACATTGGTTCAAAAAACTTTACAGAGAATGTTATGTTCATTGTTTGTTTCTGTTAACAGATAATTCAGTTTAAAGCCCCATCCTTCTTATGAATAAGTTGGCTAACATGGTTATTTCTATGTGTAAACAGAGCCTGCATAATCTAAACAAGACTTTTTTATTTATGTAACCCAGTTCACTATAATTGTAGACATTAAAAAGGGACATGTTGTAATAAGTGTTGTTTTCAAACTGACCCGATGCATACAATAATGTGGTCTGAATTGACCAAAACTAAGAATTAAAGCAGAAGGAATCAGTTTATATTTCTAAAGATCTATGGCTTTTTTTTTTGCCTGAATTATCGCATTGTAGCATTTGTTATTCCTTTTATATATATATATATATATATATATATATATATATATATATATATATATATATATATATATATATATATATATATAAGTTTCACATATCACAGATGGACCTTAGATCAAATATTTGACAAAAGGTTTTGTTTGTTATTTTAAACATTTTCCTCTATGCACACATATTAATGTTATATAAATGTTACAGAAACTCAGCTGCTCATCCCTAAGTAAACCCACAAGGCACTGGTAAAGATAACATCTGTGCCATGCACACTTTTTCATGCATGGCTGCAACAGCATTTATGGAGACATCTGCATTGGCAAAGCTGTTTTCTCTGATTATATTTCCTAAACCTTCATAAAGCCCAACTTTCTACTACTTCAATTTCTCATATTATTAGATAATATTTATTTTGATTTTTTCACTCAAGCTTCACTTATACATCCTCCTGGACATGCTTACTTATTTTAAATCTGTTATATCTCTTCCCAAATGGCATGTTGTCAGCTCTTAAAATATTGATCCACCTATCGTAAATCTAGTACTGAAACTAATCAATTTTTTAAGCCTGAAGACAAAAGGCTTCACAAGGTAACATGCTTGAGTTCTGTTTAAGTAAACAAAATAGCAGCTAGTTAATTCCTTTGATGTATTTAGCAGTGTAAATTTTTGTATTGAGAACTTTATTTCCTTTCCTTATTTTTCTAGTTAGTTATGGAAAAGGAAATGAATGAGGTGTATTTAAATACAGTGTATATACTGTAGGAGATTATTTAGGTCTTTCACTGCCATGTGGGGCACCTGAGTTCTTTTTCCTGCAAGAAGGACAAACAGTATAAAAACTTTGTCTTATGAGCAAATAATAATGATTTCCCTGGTGCTCCCTTATTATGGGAGCAGCTAAAATGGATACAAACAAATTAAATACACTGTAATCAGTAGTCTAGTTGAAAAAAAAAGAAAAGAAGGGGGATGGTGTAATTTTTTATTTTTTTTGGAAGCATACATAGCCTAAATAATATAGTCTATTAACCTAAAGCAATATGCATGGTATGGTTGTTACATGTCAGCTACGCCGGTCATTGACCTTGACCAAAGCACCATGCTGTAGAACTGCAGTCAGTCCCTGGACCGGCATGGCTATCACTGCCCTTACAGGGTTAGAGACAAATGCAGAGGGCAAATTTCCCCACTGGGATCAGCTTCATAGTCATGGTAGGCCACTTCTTTGATTTTATTTATTAATTCATCAAGGTACTCGTAAACCCACAGCCCACCAAATGTTGAAAGGGAAATATTATTGCCATTACTGTTAATATACAGTAGAAATTTTACACGTTCTGCAATAAAATGTCACAGGGGGGATGGTTATTTAAGAAAGGGTATGATCTTTTAAGTTTTTTTTTAATAAGGGGGATGCCGTCCCCCCTCAACTCGAGTACTGAGTGTAATATCTTTTAAGGTGATTCATTTCTGGTTACCGTGTTTTAAAGAAAAGCACAAAAACTGTTTATTTACTTTACAAATAGAAGAAACTCTTCAAGTAAAAGCATGTTACAGTGACCACCTCTGCTTTTTAATAGTCATGTTATTGCCCATCATTCAAAGACAGAATTTAATATCTGCTGTTCTGCCTCTGAAACCAGAACTAAGCCGTGTTTGAATACCATCTATCATGGTGAAATACTGCATTTGTTACATTTCAAGGTCTAAATGTCATGCACAAAAATGTAATGTTTGTCCAGCTTCTCATTTTACACCCTCTATCTTGGGCCCATCCATCCACTGGGAAATATCAATAATTTACAAGAAACCCATTCTGCCTACCTGACAGTGACGCTTGTATCGACTACACTTTCTTCTGCCTCTCTGGCTGCACATTAGTCTTAACATGCCACTACATTAATCCACGTTTGGGTAAAAGCAAGTTTAGTTGAGTCATCAAACTTTTACCAAGAGCAACAAAATGCATAGAGACCTGATAAGTTTCAACATCTTAAAACATCACTTACAATTTTATCATACCGTTGTGCTGGTCCAGTATCCATAAACGTAACTTTCCCACTTATAAAAACAAGTATAGACTGTTATTTAACACCTATTTGAAACAGAAAACAATTGCACACTTTTAAAATATTGCGTTTTTTTATTAATTGTAGGGATTTATATAGGTTGACACTGCAATTAAACCAATTGTTCTCCCAAATTAGGTCCCGGTTAAACTAAACTTTACCTTCAGTCTCCAGGATTTTTGCTGACTGCACCCAACTCTTGGCTGAGTAGGGTTTTGTATTTTGTGCAGTTTCTCTGGCAAGATTTTTAACGATATAATAAAGAAGCTGGCAAGTTTCCTATTTTAAACAGTTTTCCACCATTTATAATGATATACAAGAGAAATTGTCTTGGCTGCTGTAGCCTCTCCTCATTGTTCATGTGACCCACTGTGTGCTGTATTCAGAAAGCTGCTGGTTTATGGGGAGCACAGAGCACAGGTAAAACACTCGCCAATAAATTTTACAACGTATAATGCAAAGCGCAAATGATGCTATCTTTCTTTTTAGCTCCGTCCCCAATTGTGTATGTACAGGGAGAAATATTACGAGATAAATCCTTACTCATCTTTCTCATGGTAATTTGCTGGAAGTTTGGTCTATTCATCCTAACTCAGGTTTGCTGGTCGCTTTGCTCCAAAACTTTCTTCTGAGACTGAGATCGGGGCTTTGTGTTGGTTCCCCCAAAACGTCAGTGGCTTGCCGACAATGTTGACAGATGAATGGGTATCATAGCATCAATGTCAGCAAGCATAGCTTCTACAGTACGACTCTCCCAATACCATGTGTAGTGATCTTTTAGTTTCTCGTACAAATATTTCAGACTTAAATTATATATCCCAACTCATTAATGATATCAGTCTTTTTTTTAACTTGTCTATATATGTTGTGAATGACCAGTTAGTCATTCAACACACATAATAAAAATGTAAAACCCTTTATTGTCCCACAATAGCGAAATCCACTCTCTGCATTTTGAGCAAACCCATTGGGGAGCAGTGGGCTGCCATTGTGTGGCACCTGGCAAGCAGTGTGGGGTAAAGGGTCTTGCTCAGGAACCAATATTGGAGGATGTGGCGATCGAACCGGGTACTTGCAACCTTCTCAGAGCAGAAGTGCACTGCTCTAACCACTATTCAACACACATAATAAAAATGTAAAACCCTTTATTGTCCCACAATGGGGAAATTCACTCTCTGCATTTTCAGCAATCCCATTGGGGAGCACTGGGCTGCCATTGTGTGGCACCTGGCGATTAGTGTGGGGTAAAGGGTCTTGCTCAGGAACCCAGATTGGAGGATGTGGGGATCGAAGAGGGTACTTGCAACCTTCAACAGCTCTAACCACTAGGCCAACACTCCCCCAAATATCAACACATCGAACTCTCGACCCACGAAAGACTTGCCATAAAAGTAGTCGGCCGTTTTGGAGCTATGACAGGTAATGAATCAAAATAATACATTAGAAAATGCATCTGTACTGCCTCGCTTGTTACCTAAAAAAATCCTTAACTGTTATGGATTGGGTAATTTTCTGGCTGATCTCTTCAGACGTGTATCAAATGTAAGGCTTGATTTCTGCCCTCAGGAGCCCCAAAAAAGCCTATCGTGTTATAAGGTAGAGGTATGTTTTCTTTTAGTTTAAAAAGTGCTTCAATAGCTCCACGCATAAGAGGCAACACACTTCCTATGGAAGCTGTGTGAATAGCCACTGATTCCCCAATAGTTACTTCA